CCATTCCCAGGCCAGTTCCAGCAATTCCCAACCCATCCCCAGCCATTCCCAGCCCCATTCCCTGCCACTCCTAGCCATTTCCTGCCATTCTCAGCCATTCCCAGCCATTCCCAGCCCATTCCCAGCCCCATCCCCTCCCCAGCTATTCCCAGACCCATCCCCAGCCATTCCCAACCCATTCCCAGGCTGCTCCCTGCCATTCCCAACCATTCCATCATTCCCAGCTACTCCCAGACCCATTCCCTGCCACACCCAGCCCATTCCCATCCCATCCCCAGCCCATTCTCAGCCATTCCCAGCCCATTCCCTGTCATTCCCAGCCATTCCCAGGCTTTTCCCTGCCATTCCCAAGCTGTTCCCTGCCATTCCCAGCCATTCCCAGCCCATTCCAAGGCCAATCCCAGCAACTCCCAGCCATTCCCAGCCCCATCCCCTCCCCAGCTATTCCCAGACCCATCCCCAGCCATTCCCAACCCATTCCCAGGCTGCTCCCTGCCACTCCCAACCATTCCATCATTCCCAGCCATTCCCAGCCCATTCCCTGTCATTCCCAGCCATTCCCAGGCTTTTCCCTGTCATTCCCAACCATTCCATCATTCCCAGCTATTCTCAGCCCCATTCCCTGCCACTCCCAGCCCATTCCCATCCCATCCCCAGCCCATTCTCAGCCATTCCCAGCCCCATTCCCTGTCATTCCCAGCTATTTCCAGCCCATTCCCTGCCAGTCCCAGCTGTTCCCAGTCCATTCCCAGCCCATTCCCATCCCTTCCCAGCTATTCCCAGACTGTTCCCTGCCATTCCCAGCCATCCTCAGCCATTCCCTGTCATTCCCAGCCATTCCCAGCCCATCCCCAGCCCATTCCCAGCTCATTCCCAGCCCTTCCCAGCTATTCCCAGATTGTTCCCTGCCATTCCCAGCCATCCCCAGCCCATTCCCAGCCATTCCCAGCCCCATTTCCAGGCCATCCCCAGCTATTCCCACACCCATTCCCATCCCTTTCCAGCTATTCCCAGACTGTTTCCTGCCATTCCCAGCCCATCCCCAGCCATTTCCTGCTATTCTCAGCCATTCCCAGCTATTCCCAGCCCCTTTCCAAATATTCCCTGTCATTTCCAGCCCATTCCCAGTCCATCCCCAGCCCATTCCCATCCCTTCCCAGCTATTCCCAGACTGTTCCCTGCCATTCCCAGCCATCCTTAGCCATTCCCTGTCATTCCCAGCCCTCTCCAGGCTGGTTTCAGGAGGCTCTGCAGTGCCTGGATTAGCTGCCTTTGCCTGGGATTTCAGGATTAAAAGGAAGCTGTTCATTATCCAGCACTGCCAGCAGATCCCCACTGCCTGGGCAGAGGGAAGCCCAAGATTCACAGGTCCAGAGGATCCCTGGGGCTTTTTGTGGCCCTGCACCCACAGGTTCTGTGTGTGGGATGGGATTTACACCCCTCAACACCTCCCCAGACCATGCTGAGGTTGCTCAGCTCCCCACAGGAACAGCTGTGCAACCCCATGCCCTGCACTCCACATGTTATCATAACCAAGTGTGAATGATAATTCAGATAGAAAGTGAGGTGCTGAGGAAGATCACAGAATCCCAGACTGGTTTGGACTGGAAGGAGCTTAAAGTTCACTCAATTCCACCCCATCAATGGGCAGGGACACCTTCCACTGTCCCAGGCTGCTCCCAGCCCATCCAGCCTGGCCTTGGGCACTGCCAGGGATCCAGGGGCAGCCACAGCTGCTCTGGGAATGCTGTGCAGAGCCTCTCACACCCTCCACCCTAATCCTTTAGGGAAGGATTTTTCCCTAAAATCAAATCTAAACCACCCTCCTGTCAGCCCAGAGCTTTAGAGGTGCTCTAAAGGGTGACAAATTCCCTGATGGGCCTGGAACAGACACCTTGGATCCTTCACCTCTCCCTCAGTATTTTAAACACTCACTCTGAAGGAGCCAAGGAAGTAAAGTCTGGCCAATGAAGTGATTGCACAGACTGCAAATCAGCCACAGAGAGGAAGCACTAAGAGGATTTTAAAATCAAAGTCAGTCTGTGTGGCAAACTAGATCACCAGTGCAACACCCACAGGCTCAAACGGTGTAAAGGAGTGGCTGAGGGAGAGTTTGTGCAGGGAAGAGTTGGAGAAAACAAGGAGAATGAACTCACCTCTCCTTGGAGGTCGATGGAGGGGTTGCAGTTGGTGAAGTCCTCCCAGAGCAGCAGCGTCTCCTCGTTCTCCTCCCACGTTAAACTGTCACAGTCGTCATCGAAGTCAAAGGTCTCGCGGCTGGGAGAGCAAAGAGCCATCACTGCAGCCCCAGCGCCTCAGTCCTCTAATTAATTGTCTAGAAAATGGGCTATGAGAGCTGAATGGGGCACAGTGCAGCCTGGAAATCCTCACAGCTTGTACCAACAGCCTGTGGCACTGCCAGGGCCTCTCTGCTGGGCTCCCTGCCACCCCAGGGCTCAGCAAAAGCTCCAGCCTGGCTCTGCCCTGCAGATGGAGCTGCACAGGAGCTTCCCCTGCCTGCAAAAGCACAGAAATGTCTGGAGCTGTTCTTGGCTCCAAAGGAAAGGAGCCCAAACACAGCTCAGGGGGTGTCACAGGGCTCAGAACCCACAAGGATTGCATGGGGGAGCTCAGCCAAGGGATCTCCTGCAGCCNTGCAGGGGAGAGGAGGACACAAAAAATCAGCAAGGAAATACAGGAATTCAGGAATTCTCAAGTTTCCCAGGTTTTCTTCCTGCAGGGGAGAGGAGAACACAAAAATCAGCAAGGAAATAAAGGAATTCAGGAATTCTCAAGTTTCCCAGGTTTTCTTCCTGTAGGGGAGAGAAGGACACAAAAATCAGCAAGGAAATAAAGGAATTCAGGAATTCTCAAGTTTCCCAGGTTTTCTTCCTGCAGGGAAGAGGAGGACACAAAAATCAGCAAGGAAATAAAGGAATAATTCAGAAATAAAGGAATTCTCATTTTCCTTCCTGCAGGGGAGAGGAGGACACAAAAAATCAGCAAGGAAATGAAGGAATTCAGGAATTCAGGAATTCTCCAGTTTCCCAGGTTTTCTTCCTGCAGGGGAGAGGACAAGAAAAAATCAGCAAGGAAATACAGGAATAATTCAGGAATAAAAGAATTCTCAAATTTCCCAGGTTTTCTTCCTGCAGGGGAGAGGAGGACACAAAAATCAGCAAGGAAATAAAGGAATAATTCAGAAATAAAGGAATTCTCAAATTTCCTTCCTGCAGGGGAGAGGAGGACACAAAAATCAGCAAAGAAATAAAGGAATTAAGGAATTCTCCAGTTTTCCAGATTTTCTTCCTGCAGGGAAGGAGAACATGAAAAATCAGCAAGGGAATAAAGGAATAATTCAGGAATAAAGGAATTTTCAATTTTCCTTCCTGCAGGGGAGAGGAGGACACAAACAACCAGTAAGGAAATAAAGGAATAATTCAGGAATAAAGGAATTCTCATTTTCCTTCCTGCAGGGGAGAGGAGGACAAGAAAAAATCAGCAAGGAAATAAAGGAATAATTCAGGAATTCAGGAATTCTCAAGTTTCCCAGGTTTTCTTCCTGCAGGGGAGGAGGACCCAAAAATCAGTAAGGAAATACAGGAATAATTCAGGAATAAAAGAATTCTCAAGTTTTCTTCCTGCAGGGGAGAGGAGGACACAAAAATCAGCAAGGAAATAAAGGAATTAAGGAATTCTCAAGTTTCCCAGGTTTTCTTCCTGCAGGGGAGAGGAGGACACAAAAATCAGCAAAGAAATAAAGGAATTCAGGAATTCTCAAGTTTTCCAGGTTTTCTTCCTGCAGGGGAGAGGAGGACACAAAAAATCAGCAAGGAAATAAAGGAATAATTCAGGAATAAAGGAATTCTCAAGTTTCCTTCCTGCAGGGGAGAGGAGGAAACGAAAAATCAGCAAGGAAATAAAGGAATTCAGGAATTCTCAAGTTTCCCAGGTTTTCTTCCTACATGGGAGGAGGACATGAAAAATAGTAAGGAAATAAAGGAATAATTCAGGAATAAAGGAATTCTCAAATTTCCCAGGTTTTCTTCCTGCAGGGGAGAGAAGGACACAAAAAATCAGCAAGGAAATACAGGAATAATTCAGAAATAAAGGAATTCTCAAGTTTCCCAGGTTTCCTTCCTGCAGAGGAGAGGAGGACACAAAAAAAATCAGCAAAGAAATAAAGGAATTCAGGAATTCTTCAGTTTCCCAGGTTTCCTTCCTGCAGGGGAGAGGAGGACACAAAAATCAGCAAGGAAATAAAGGAATAATTCAGGAATAAAGGAATTCTCATTTTCCTTCCTGCAGGGGAGAGGAGGACACGAAAAATCAGCAAGGAAATGAAGGAATTCAGGACAGAACTGACAATTTTATTTAACCTCCCTGGAAATGCAGGTTCTTGTGTTGTTCCTGCACTG